ACTGGTATTTGGCATATTGAGTATGACACGGGAAGTTTGCCAGACTCTGTCATGCGGGCAGGATACTTTTGGTAGCCTGCCAGGTTCTCCAAAGGAAAGATAATAAGATGTTGTGCGGCCGCAAATGCGGCCGCACGCTTCCGGGATCTGGGTTTTATAGTCTCTGCATCTTGGCTGTTGATGGGACCAACCTGGCATTGGCGGAAGCTGGTGGGTGTGACGCCTACCTACTGGAAGATGGGGGGTCTGGGTGGAAAAGGCCCAGTCCCAATCCGGGTAGGCTTGGAGACCTCAGCCCGGGGACCCTCATGCCTGGGTTCCTCTGCCAGTTCTTTCATGCATGAGGCCCATCCAGACATGTGGAGAGTGGTCCCAGCATGGCTGTGGCTGGCTCCGTAGGTCCTCAGCTGCTGGGGCTCTTCTCGGGACGGGGTGGGGAGAGAAACTCAACCCCCTCCAAGGGGCCCCAGTGAGGACAGCCAGGCGCAGGGGCAGGAGTAATATATAAATATAAATATAAATAACTGTCCTCCCTTTGTTCATCGATTTGCTCGAGTGGGCCCAGTAACGTCTCCATCTTGAGACTTGTTGTTACTGTGTTTGGCATATCGAATACGTCACGGGTAGCTTGCCAGGCTCTCCAAGAGGCGTGGAGGAATCGAACTCGGGTCGGCCATGTTGGCTGTGTGCAAGGCAAACGCCCTACCCCTATGCTATTGCTCCAGCCCAAATATAAATATAAAGTAATATATATATTACTTTATCAAATATGGTAGATACATATATTAAGATATATACACATATTCACTACAATGCTACATATATACAACTCAGGTACCCAACAGTAGATGATTGCATAAAAATTTTATTCTAAATATGCACTAATTAATATTACTCAGCTATACATAAAAGTTAAAATCTTGCCTTTTGCTACACCTTGGATGAAACTAAAAAGTTTCAGCTTTTAGAGATTCGTTTTTAGCTGCTCTACTCTTTTTCTCAGTGATTTCTGCTTGGTTATTTCTCATAGTTTCTCCCTCTTAGTTGATGCTCTTTTCTATTGATTTCCTCGTTTCACTGAGCATTATTGAATTGTTGTTTTAAGAAAAAATAAGTTAGATGTAAAAGGAAACTTCCGGGATGAGCTCACTTATATGTGGTATATAAAGAAACAAAGACAAATGAAAAGAAGCACTTGTGGCAACAGATTACCAAGCCAGTTGTGGGATGGGGATGAGGAGGAGGAATGTGGCTGACTAGAAGTGATATAGTGATATAGGCCCTTTGTTGATGGTAGAGCAGCAACAATTTTGTAGCCACAAAGCATAAGCACTAATAATATTGCAGACCATGTTACCTCAATAATAATGCAAATTTTTAAAATACAATAACTGAGGAGCTGGAGTGATAGCACAGCAGGTGGGGCGTTTGCCTTGCACGCAGCTGACCCGGGTTCGATTCCCAGCATCCCATATGGTCCCCTGAGCTACTGCCAGGAGTAATTTCTGAGTGCAAAGCCAGGAGTAATCCCTGTGCATAGCCAGGTGTGACCCAAAAAGCCAAATATATATATATATATATATATATATATATATATATATTAACTGAGAAAATAATTATGTACCAAGGAATCAACAAACAAAGTGAAAGACATACACATTAAAACTATAAATGGTCAATGAATGAAACAGAAGATATAGGAAAATAGATTATCCATGTGCATGGATTGATTGAAATGATTAGCTCTGTAAAATTGGCCTGCTGACACAAAAGAATATACAGAGTCATTGCAATCCCTGTCAAAATTACAATGACATTGTTCAAACCCACAGAATCTACATAAATCACAAAGTCTACAAACAGACAGGGTAGTCATGAAAAAAAGGATAGGAGGCATTGCAGTTATTGACTTTAACAATACTATACAGATATAATCATCAAAACAATGTAGTGTCAGAATAAAACAGACACTTAAATTAAATTGAATTTATTTTTTAAAGTGAATTTATTTATTTTATTTATTTATTTTTGCTTTTGGGGTCACAGCTGGCGATGCACAGGGGTTACTCCTGGATCTGCACTCATGAATTACTTCTAGCAGTGCTGGAGGACCATATGGGATGCTGGGGATCGAACTGGAGTTGGCTGCGTGCAAGGCAAACACCTACCCACTGTGCTATCACTCCAGCCCCAAATTAAATTGAATTTAGAGCCCAGGACGAAACCCTTAGACACATGGACAGTGAATTTATGACCAAGTAATCAAGAGCATAAAATGGAGAAACGAAAGTTTCATCAACAAATGTGACTAGATTGCTACATTGAAATAAATAAAATAGATGACACCAAACACAAAAGTTTATGAAAAGTTAAAGACATATGTTAAACCTTAATAGGTAAACAATCATATTTGCTTCACCTATGGTTACAACTTCATCAGCAAGAACAAAATAAACATATGGGGTTTCATCTAACTAAAAAGCTTCTGAACAACCAAGTAAGTTATCACCAATACAAAAAAAAGATAGTCTACTGAATAAGAAAACTATTCAGAGATCAAAGATGTGACAAAGGGCTGATATTCAAAATATATAAAGAACTATAAATGTAAACACCACCATAAACTGGAGACAAGAATTGAATTGGTATTTCAACAAAAAAAGATATATATATGGTTAATAGGCACATGAAAAAAAGTGTTCAAAATACCTTATTATGGTAAATGCAAAATAAAATACTATTGAGATATAGCTTCACAGTATTGGTAATTTACTATATCAAAGAGAGCAGAAATAACAAGTGTTATCGTGAATGTGGAGAAAAAGGAATCTTCATTCAATGTTGGTGGGAATGTAATTTGACTGATCCTTTATGGGAAACAGTATGGAGGTTTCTAAGAAAAATAAAAACTAGAACAACAAAACTCAGAAATCCCACACATAGCTATATATCCAAAGACCACGAAAACACTAATAGAAAAGATCTAGAAATAACCCAAGGGTCCAATAACAGATGAGTGGATGTGTAAACAACAGGATACTAATCAGATGTGAGAAAGTATAGACTATGGCCTTTTGTTGCATAGGAATGGTACTTGAATATGTCCTTCTAAGCAAAATAAGTCGTAGAACAAAGACAAATACCTGATTATCTGACACATTAGTGGCATAGCACTGTAGCGCTGTCTTCCAGTTGTTCATCAATTTGCTCGGGCACCAGTTACGTCTCCATTTTGAGACTTGTGGTTACTGTTTTTGGCATATTGAATACGCCACAGGGAGCTTGCCAGGCTCTGTCATGTGGGCAGGATATTCTCGGTAGCTTGCCAGGCTCTCCAAGAGGAACAGAGGAATCAAACCCATGTTGGTCGCATGCAAGGCAAACACCCTACCTGCTGTGCTATCGTTCCAGCCCATTAGTGGTATATAAAGAAAAAAAGAAAAAGGAATAGACAATTCCCATGTAAAACAAATCCTTGGACTGAGGATGCCTTGGTGGGAAGATTTGTACTTAAAAGGCCCAGTGAGACAAAACTCATACCTCGGTAACATCATACGACTAAAATATAAAAGTGTTCACTTTAGAAAATTAATATTACTTAAATAAAATATGAAGCTAAAATATTTCAGCACTTCACTTTTAAATGACAATTTTGCTGACATTATCTCTAGATAAAAGCAGGACACCTGTTAATTTTCACTGTGGAGAAAGGTGAAAGAAGCAAAGGGAAGTAGGAGAAATAATTTTATAGTCTATGATCATAGTTGTCTAGTAGACAGTGTTAAGGAGGATCTGAGATTCAGAGGTAGACGTGGGAATCATCTGTGCTTGGAAGGAAATCAAAAGAGTACATCAGGGAGAGAGGGTATGTTCTCAGAGGAGAAAAAGAAGCAGCTCATTTCCCCCGGCAGGTACCACCACAAGGCTCTGGAACCAGCCACAGCTTGTCTTGCCAGAGGGCCATGGTCTCAGTGCTGGGCTCTCTAGGTCAAGTCAGGTATCTCTCTGTGTCAAGTCAGGGAGTTCCCTGTCTCACACCTGGAGCTCACGGGCATCTCCAAAGGATGCAGTGCCGGGCGCTAGTATGCACCAGATAAAGCACCTGCAGTCAGAGGGCTGCCCACCTCTTCGCTGGGTGAGTTCCGCCTTGCCATTACCAGCTGCCCCCAGTCTGCAGCTGTCCAGTTCCCCCGGGAGGGGCGGAGGGCGGGACGGCGGGGCTGAGCGCCAGTGACGCCACGCTCACGTGACCGGCCGGGCGCCGACGTGGGTAGCAGTCCCCAGCCAGCCTTACTCCTGGTTGGTGTCTGCCGTCCGCGTGGAACGGGCTCCCGGAGCTGCCGGAGCGGCGGGCGAGGGGCGAGCCGGCTTCGGCGAGCCCGAGGAGGCGCAGGCCTGCCCCGGGCCGGGCAGGTCAGTGTAAAGGGGGCGCTGACGGCGTCCCCATGCAGGTCTGGAGGTGGACCCCGCTGCGGAAGGGATGGATGAGGGCTCGAGACCGGGAGGTTGGTGAGAGGGGTTCTGGGACCCGGAGCATGCAGGGAGGGAGGGAGACCGCGGCCACAGCCCTGTCGCGTCTTCCACCCCCCTCGTTTTGGCGCCCTCTCCCTTTCCCAGCTCCGAGCGATTCGGGGCGTGTAGGGGGGAAGGGGAGAAGAAGGGGGAGGGGAGCGCCCCCGCTGTGCCAGTGCAGCAGTGAAACGTAGATTCTGGAAAGAGCCCCCTCTCGTGCGCTGCGCCTAGGAGGAAATTTAACCGCCGCAGAAAGGGTGGAGGGCTTGAAAGGGAAGAAAACGTGGAGACAGAACAGTTTGGACAGCATCTTGGCCTGCGCCAGAGGCCTGGAAAGTAATGGCGGCTGCGATTCAGAGGGGAGGGAGGCGTGAGAGGTGGGGAGGGGACCAGCGGGGAGAAGGGCCTGGCTTATGGAAAAGAACCCCAGGCCACCTCATGCATGGCTCCTGCTCCTGTCTCCTGTAGGTCTGTTTGTCAATTTCCAGCGCTCTGCACAGCTAGAAAAGGAGGAGGAACTGTCATCCAGAATCCCTGTAGGTCAGTAAAAGGGATTCTTCGGGTGGGGCATTGATCAAGTACCCATATGTGGTGTGGAGGCAGGGGGGTAAAGTGGAAGACTGGTTCTAAACAGAATTTGGGGCTCAGCTTCAAAACTCCCAACCCATTTGTACACACTAAAATCCCCTGAACCATTCTTTGGTAAAGTCTGCCAAAGAATGGTTGACTGGCTTGTGTGAGAGAAACAGTGGCATAAAGTTGGGGAAAGTCAGGGGTGTAGAGGTTGTTGAAGGCACAGTCAGACCATCGGGTTAGTCCAGGGGAATGTAGAGTAATCAGAACTAGAGAGACAGATTCTACGCTCAAATTCTCAGTTGTCCTTATCTTTTCTTTGTCTCTTTTTCCCCACCCCATGTCCCATCCTCCAGTACAGAAAAAGAAGTGCGAGTCTCAATATGGAAAAACCCTACTCTGAAAATGAAAAAATATCTGAGAACAAAGGGAATATGGAAAGTGAAGAAAAGCCAGAGGATATGGTAAAGCAAGAAGTAGCTTCCACTGTAGACAACACTGATAAGCTATACAATGAGAAAAAAACGGGTGATGAAATGTTAATAGAGAATGAAAAGGTAGACAATGAGGCAAAACTAGAGCATGAAAATGTAAAAGAGGAACACCCTGAGACCCAGGAAAAGCCAGCAAGTGAGGGAAAATTAGAGAGTGAGGAAAAAGCAAATGAAGAAAAGCCAACCAGTGAACCAAGGGCTGCAGAAAAGCGTCCAGCTGAGGATGATGTACCCAGGAAAGTCAAAAGAAAAACCAAGGGGTTGGCTCAGTGCCTCAAAGAACATAAAGAGGCCATACATGAGAAGCATTTGAGCAATGAGGAGATGATAAAAGAATTTGACAAGATGGCTTGGGTGGAGGATGAAGTGAAGAAAACCAGACTCAAACTGGGGAGATTTATGTGTATGCATAAAAGATCAGAGGATGCCTCTCAGCCAAGGGGTCCAAGGGAAAATCAGGGTGGTGGCATGGCCCCACAGAAGGGCCCTGAAGACACTTCTCCTATTTAATCCCCCCGACAAGCTTTTGCCAGTTCCTTTGCTTTACATTTTTTAAACTTTTTCTTTTGATTGATGTTCTGTGATTTATAATACTGTTAATGAGTGTTTCTGTGCATTTGAATCTGACATGATGCCACTTAGCATTCTACCCACCTCCTTCCCCCAAGGACCCCAACTCCTCTCCCTTTAATCCCTCCAACTCAGATGTGTGAGTCATTTCCCCCATTATGTTGGTTTTGCAGGCCCTTTGAGTTAATCTTATTCTGATACATTGCTTTAGGTGGCATTCTTCAGTAGCCTTCTGACCCATTCAGAGTGTCCTATAAGTATGTGTTTTCACTCGTGTGCACTACAAAAATATGAAGTTTTGAAAAATAAAGCAGTTTATAACATCTACAGGAATGGTTCACTTTTTTTCAGAAACAATAAACTTATGTAGTTTATCTATGTACAGGTAAAATAGAAAAACATTTTCACTAAAGGGTTATCATAGTTTTCTGGGTTGTTTTATTATAAGTGACTCCTCGGTGCCTTTCTGTTAATGTGCTTATTTTTCCAAAGTAATAGAGATTACCTTTTAAAATAAATAGCAACATATTTTAATTAAAACAACATACTAGAAGCAATACAAAGAATTCGGTGTGTTTATGAAGTTTGTCAGACAACTCAAAATTATTGTCAGGGAAACAAGGGACAGGAGGATTGGTCCACAGTTGGCAGCCTGCTTCAAGTCCTAGGGGAGAGGGCATTTGGGATAGAGAAGGGACCACCATGACAAAGATAGTTGGGAATGATCACTGGATAAGAACTATGTGCTGAAAGTAGGTAAAGGAACAAATATGATAACCTCTCAGTGCCTATATTGCAAACCATAATGCCTCAAAGGGGAGGGAGAGACAAAGGTGTCGGGGGAGTAGGATGGTGAGGCAGACAGAGAGAGAGAAGGAAAGTGCCTGCCATAAAGACAGGCTGAGCAGAGGGTAGCGGGAGGGAAACTGGTGACAGTGGTGGTGGGAAATGTACGCTGGTGGAGGGATGGGTGTTAGAACACCGTATGACTGAAACCCAATCATGATCAGATTTGTAACTCTTATGGTGATTCAATTAAAAAACAAGAGAAAAAATTATTGCCAAGGAACCGGAGAAATAGTACAGTATGCTTGCCTTGCACCACTCAGCTGACCCTGGTTTATCCCAAGCACTGCATGTGGTCCCCGAAGCATAAGCACCACTGAATGATTATGGCCCCAAATCCAAAACAAAAAAGTGTTATAAGAACCTGAAATGACATAAGAGACATTATTTCTGGGATTATAGAGGAATTGATCCAGTAATTTAAGAATCAATTTTATCATCTGTGAAATGGAAGTACTACTGTCTACACATTAACAAATAGTGGATCAGGTGAGATACTGAGTGCGTGTTGGCCTGGCTTCTGTCTTGTCCCCAGTACTAACAAGACCAGAACTCCTTAAGAAGAGTACCTAGAAATAGGTTCAGGGAATCAAAAGGGATGTGCCAATACTCTGGGTACTATCATGCCTTTTGGGAATAGTACTTGAATCCTGCACTCCATAGGCCCTCACTGATGCTATAGGTTTGGAGTTCTCAAGATGGCAAAGCATAATTAATTTTTCTTTGATTTTTGATTTTGATTTTCTTTTTATTTTCTTTTCCAGTGAACTAAAATCTGGCCCATCCCAAGATTTTTAGATGTGTGAATAAATCAATTTCTTCCACATTTGAGCTATACTGAGCCATGTAAATGATGATGCTAAATACTTAGCAATGTGAATGATACTTCAGTGATGCTTTAGTCTTTAATTGGTTTCTGATTTTTAGCAAAACTATACTTTCCATGTTTCTTTCCAAACAGGTTTTCATATATAGCTGTCTCTTCATCAGATTAAGCTATGTGGGGCCATGTGAACTCCAAGCAGCATATACTGGTCTCATCTCACTAAGGAAATCATTTGCTGAGAAACTTCTGCCAGGTTCTACTTTACAAGGTTAACACACCTACCATCACTTGTGGATTTTAGAATACTACTAGTTAAGTTTTGGTCAATGGCAGAACTCCCTGCATCACCTGATAGATACTTAGAAATGCAGAATCTGAGGTTCCTATCCCAGACCCACTCAATCAGAATTTACATTTTGACGTGATCTGCAGGCCATTCCGGGCACATTAAAATTTGAGAAGCACCAAATATTTAAAGTAGCGTCTTCTTAACCACCCACTCTTACTTTCACACAAAGTATGTGGTTTGAAGGATAAATATATGTGTTATGATTAATTTTATAATACTATAATGCATATTATAAATTAATAATTAGACCTATTTGTCAAAACAGAAATACTACATTCCCTACATTAGTAGAGCTTGAAAATTCAGCAAGTCAAAACCTAATTTTTTTAAATTTATTTTATTAAAACACTGTGATTTACAAAGTTATTGCTATTTGAGTTTTAGACATACCTGCAATTTTTTTTTTGCTTTTTGGGTCACACCTGGCGACACACAGGGGTTACTCCTGGCTCTGCACTCAGGAATCAGCCCGGGCAGTGCTCAGGGGACCATATGGGATGCTGCGAATCGAACCTGGGTTGGCCGCGTGCAAGGCAAACGCCCTACCGCTGTGCTATTGCTCCAGCCCCCATACCTGCAATTTTAAAAATGAAATAAGCTAGAATAATATTAATTTGAACCATATTGTAAATACTGGATTGCATTGCAGGTGCATAACATTTCATGACGTATTTCGGCAATATGCATATGGTTATACTTTTACACTCTGAATTGTGATGAAGAAATTTCTGAGTGTGAGCTAAAGTCCTTTATAAAAATTGAGATTTTGGAGGCTACAGACATAATACAGAGGGTCGTGAGTTTGTCTTTTATATGCCCAGTTCGAGTTTGACTTATGGTATTCTGAGCACCACCAGGAGTAATTCCTGAATGCAGAGTCAGAAATAACCCCTGCGTACCTCTGGGTGTGCCTCCCCTAAAAATCAAGCCAGAAAGATAGTACAGAGGCAAAGGGACGTGCCTGTGCACAGCTGAACCTGGTTCCACCCCCAGCACCATTTGTGGTTCCCTGAGCACTGCCAGGAGAAATTTATCTTAAGCAGGGATAAGCCCTGAACACCACCAGGTATGGCCCAAACTACCCAATAGATAAATAAAAATTGAGAAATGGGGGGGTCTGTGAAATATCTCAATATAGTGAGTGAGTCAAGAAGCAGAGTTCAAACTCCTGGACGTCATATCCTCCAAGAACTGCTTCGGCCCTGGTTGTTCCTAGCACCACTAGGCCTGAGCACTGTATTATCAGGTCCAAACATGGAACCAGCAGGCTTGCACATCTGGAAGCTAATACAGCTGTGATTGACCTCAAGGCCTCTGAGCACTGCAGGTTATGCCTCAAAAAAAGAGACAAGTTGAGAAACAATACATTATTCTTGTATCAAAACACAGCGCCTGTCTTTCCTTTGTGTTAATGCTAATACCCAGCACATTGTCTAACAAGTAATAAGTTCTTAATCACTGTCACTGTCACTGTCCTCCCATTGTTCATCAATTTGCTCGAGTGGGCCCAATAACGTCTCCATTGTGAGACTTGTTGTTACTGTGTTTAGCATATTGAATACATCACGGGTAGCTTGCCAGGCTTTGCCGTGCGGGCAAGATACTCTCGGTAGCTTGCCGGGCTCTCCGAGAGGGGAGGAGGAATCGAAACTGGCTCGGCCTGGCTGGCTGCATGCAAGGCAAATTCCCTACCGCTATGCTGTCGCTCCAGCCCAAGTTCTTAATATATTTGAAAATAAGTAACAGCTGAGATAGGACTTCTTGCTCCAACTTTTTCCAGTATACATAAATGATTTCTCTAGAAAATGAATTTGGAGTTCAAAATTGAACTCTATATGAAGGGTTTGAAACACATACTTAACCCTATCTCACAAAATCACAAAATCACAAATCATCCTGTTAATCGTCGATTGCCTCGAGCAGGCCCCAGTAACGTCTCCTTCATCCTAGCCCTGAGATTATATTCAAGGCTCTTTAGGAGAATGAGACCCATCATTGTTACTGGTATTTGGCATATTGGGTACGCCACGGGGAGTTTGCCAGACTCTGCCATGTGGGCAGGCTACATTCGGTAGCCTGCCTGTTTGTCCAAAGTAGGAATGAGATAATAAGATGTCATAATAGGATGGCATTCGTGGCCGCGCAGTTCCGGGAGCTGGTTTTTATAGTCTCATTTTATTAATTTTATTTAATTTTATTTATTAATTTCTATGTGTGTTTTAAGTATGCTAATTTCAGAATCACTGGATGACTGTTGAAAATATGAACGCTTCTTAAATCACTTCAGACATCTTAAGTTGAATTTTACCATTCTCACTTTTATCAAGTGTCCTAAGTAATTTTGGATTATACTAGTGGCTAATGGCCACTGATATATTCAATATGATCTCAGATATAGTTATTGAAAACTATGAGGCAAGCATTAAGTTCTGAGCGATAGCACAGTGGTAGGGCGTTTGCCTTGCACACAGCCAGCCCGACAGAGCTGGGTTCTATTCCTCCGCCCCTTTCAGAGAGCCCAGCAAGCTACCTAGAGTATCTCGCCCGCACGGCAAAGCCTGGCAAGCTATCCGTGACATATTCAATATGCCAAACATAGTAACAACAAGTCTCAAAATGGAGACGTTACTGGGCCTGCTCGAGCAAATCGATGAATAACTGAATAACGAGAGGACAGTGAGGCAAGCAAAAAGAAAAATTACATAGTGTCTATTTTCTAGGATGGGGACATAGATACCTTTCTAAGGTATATAACACTGGGAGTGATAAGCCATAAAGAAACGTATTACTATAACTTGTGAAAAGAACCTGAATACGTCTTTAGAGCATATCATGAGTATAAACAATCGGAAATGGAAGGCATCTTTTAAAATGGTGTGTTTTCGTCTGCAGTTTCTTCCCTCAAAGCTATGACAGATAATCGTACCTTTGTTAAAAAGCACTCATCCGACCAAAAGTATCAAAATCAAACATAAACGGCAGATCTACAGTAGAATGAAGTAATAAAATGATGCAGTGTAACAATAACATTACTGATAGGCTTCTTAGCCAAGAAGCTGTTTCCCATAGCAACAGGCCTGGAGTAGTTAGGTGTGAGTTACAAATTTCCTTCTCTCTGTAAGAGATAACAGACTGTGTTGTTGGAAGAAAGTAATCTCTGGGAAAAAAGCAACAACAAAAATCCTGAGTCATAATCTATTGAGCTAGCAGCAACTGAACCAGTTGAGTCTCTTCTTTCCTATATTACAGAATATAAGGTGGACTGTTGGCAGAAACAGATAAGAGTGGCCACAGAGGCCTAGGAGC